TGTGAATGTTTAAAACCACAGCCTGAATGATGTGTGTCAAGAAGTCAAGGGCAAAGAATGGATATAATGGTCAGTCACTACCGACATTTCCATAGCCTCACATGCAGTTAAATGAACTGTAGCTGGATGGAAGAGGCACACTAACCTCTGAGCAAAATAAAAATGAAGAATGACACTATGCTCATGTGTTCCTCAGGGTCTAACCCAACCTCTCAAAGGCAAAATCCTCAGCCTCTTCCCTCTTATGTGACATTCTGGGATTATACTTGTTGGCCACAAAGTAGTGTTTGAAATAATTCCAATGAAAGAAAGACATACGGGGTGGGGGGGGGTGGTCAGGGCAGGTAGAAAATGCAGGCATGGGGGAGGCAGTGGCAGCCTGACTTCCTGGTGTTTGGGAAGAGTGTGTGAGTATTTGTGAGATGCATTTTGAAAGCTTAAGAATAAATGGAAAATTAATGGTACAACATTGAGGAAGAATATAGAAAGAGCAAAATTACTGATATTTAGTAGTAATAACAATAGATGTTACAATGCTCTATGTGCAAGATCATGCAAATTAAAGGAAAGGGGATCTGAAATATCAGGATCCTCCAAACTACCACTTTGTGGTTTAGTGTTCTTCAGTGGGAAACATTAAGAAGCAGTAGCTAAAATGACCCCGAATTAGAATGGATCCTTACAAAAAATGTTAAAATGCGAATTGTAATTGATAACATTATTTATACAAATATAATTAGAGATAGTGTAAAGTAAAATTGATTTCTCCTTGAAAAAATCTAAGGGATTTGTGAAATTTAGAAATAATATAATTATCAATTTGTGATGTAAATTCTTAAAGCATTGTAGTATTCTTTGAGTAGGGCTTCACACAAAGCATGCTAAATTTCAACTGGAATGTTACCAGTTTAGAAGGTTACCAAATTCTACTCTCTATGAAGGCAATGGAATATGGTAGAAGGAATAGGGGCTCTGAAATCTAAGTACTTGAGGTTCACATTCCATCTGCTCTAGCTGTGGAACCTTGGGGATGTGATTTAAACTAACCTAAACTTCAGTCACGTATTCTTCAAAAAGTAGAAATAAGAATGCAGGCATCACAAAGATTAAATTCCATAACATTTACAACTGGTGAATAGTCCCATCTCTGCCTGGAGAGGTATCAAGGTGAAGAGAGTTGACCTTTCTCCAATCAGTGTTTGTGACATTGCTCTTGGATCTCTGCTGTTAGTCTCTTAATGAAATTTGGGGTGGGTCTCTCAACTTTCAGATTACTTTGAGTATCAAATCACTTTTTGAGTTAAAACATTAGTTTAAAAGGAAAGACTAAATTCTCATTTCCCACTTGGAGTTCCGGCAGGATGTCTAGTGAGTTTGCGTGCCCCTATGCCTATATGGAGAGGAGAGATGAGAACTGGGGAGCTGGCATGTTAGAATGGCCTGCACTCCATAGATCGACCAAGCAAGACATTTTCATGGACTCCACAGCTCACAGGGCTTAATTTTGTTTCTCAACCAAAATGCCAAGATCAAGTTGAGCTGAAATCCTGACTGTTTGGAGAATGGTATGATCTCCCTCTGGAAGACCTCTCCTTCCCTATATCCCCTCTCTCCAAGGACAAGTTGTTCCCATGTGTTGGTAAGGGATGAAAAAAGAGAGAAAAGAACAAGTCTCTATAATTAGTTGACTTTTCTTGGTGGTGGTCTCTTGATTCCCACTGATAGACTATTGATGTCCTCTGTGCCAGACATTCATGTGTAAGTTCTTTAGAGGACCTATTGCACTTCACGGTGCCTGACGTGGGAGATGCAGCTCTGTTGGACATCTCCTACCCCTTCCTTGTTCCTGCTACTGTCCCCATGTCCCAAAGCCTCTTAGGTAGAGTACTAAAATGATGACTCATGCCTAGCATTTGGCAGAAGCACCTGTCAGCAATAACTTAAGCATACCTTGGGAATGATCCTGTATGGCAGACACACCTGAATATGTGTTCAGAATTCCAAGCTAAGGGATATGGGAATGACCAACCCAGAGATCCATTCCTTATCCATGAGGAACATCTAAACCTTCTCCCAGTCTTGTGGAACATGGGCCAAACAGGTGATTGAGGTCCTTTGTTTTGGGTTAAATGAATGTTTCCAGTTGCAAGATTTAGGGAGAGGTTTCTAAGTGAAAATGTTGTATAAACTGCGTTCTTTTTGCAAGAGTTTACAGTTCTCCTGTCCAGCCCACTGTCACTGGACCATCCTTGTATGTATGGTTCCTGCTTTAAAAATCCTTTGTCTCCTTTGCTGGCACTGGGTCTCTTCTACCTCTTGAGCCTGGTGCCATTCCTCCTGAAGTTAATAGGGGTCTGGCATGACACCTGTCTACCTTCAATGATGGGTCAACTCCACGAGCTACAGTGTCCATAAAATAACTCCAAATGGGAAACAAGAAGTTAATCTCTTTTTCTTGCAGGTATTTCTGTTTGCAAATTTCTTCTTCTTCTTCTTCTTCTTCTTCTTTCTTCTCTTCTTCTTCTTCTTCCCCTCCTCCTCCTCCTCTCCTCCTCCTCCTCCTCCTCCTCCTCCTCCTCCTCTTCCTCTTCATGGATATGGGGCTCCTATGATGCCCAGGCAAGTCTTGAATGTCTGGCCTCAAGTGATCAACCTCAGCCTCCCAAAGTGTTAGGATTACAGGTGTGAGCCACCATGCTTGCTCAGGCATCTCAACTCTTGATAAGAAAATGTCTTGGAACATTCCCTCATGTGGCTGGAGCGGGGTGGGCAGGAGTCCACCTACCATAAAAACACGGCTCCCGCAAGTCCGTAACTCCACTGGGTCCATAACTCCTGCCATAACTTCTGGCATACCCATAACTCCATAACTCCACTGGGTCCATAATTCATAACTCCACTGGGTTATACTCATAACTCATAACTGGGTTATATTCATAACTCATAACTCCACTCCCAGTGGAGTCCATAACTCCACTGGGTCAGTAAAGGTGGCTACCATGCTAGTAGCAAGAATGATTCTTTTACTTCCTAGTAAGTCTCAGAAAAGTATTGTTATGTTGTAAATGACTTGCTTTCTTAGAGTTTCCATCTCTCTCCTTGTAGTATCCACCTATTCTTTCATGTTTTCCACTTTTCCCATGAGAACCTTTAGCAAATTAATCATTTAAATTTCCTGGTCTGATAATTCCAAAAATTTCTGTTATATCTGAGTCTGGTTCTTGTGCTTGTTTTGTCTCTTCAGACTGTGTTGTCTTCTTTTCACTATGACTTGTAATGTTTTTGTTGAAAGCCAACAGGATGTATTTGGATATAAGGAACTGGGGTAAACATGTCTTTAGTGTGAGGTTTTGTTTGTCTGGCTAGGATTTAGTCTGTGTTGGCTGTTTGCTATTCCTGTAATGTCAGAGGCTAAAATTTCTTCTAATGTCCCTAGTTTGATCTTCATGTTCATTAGAGACTCCATCTGAAATAGAGTCAGAGCTGTACAGTTCTTTTAATGAAACTCCCTGACATTATACAGGAACCCGTAGAAGGGTCAGAAGGTGGGAAGAGAGGGGGAGTGTTTTATAATCCTTTAATTGGTTCTCAGTCTTTTACTTATTCTGAGTTGGATATGTCCCTTCCTCCATGTCCAAGACTAGAAGGAGCCGGAGACGGGCAGTTCTGTTCTTCAAATCATGGGTTAGAGTGGCCTAGTGTCAGGTATTTGGTATTGAGAACCAGCATTGGGTAACTGCATGTTGGTTAGGCTCTGATGAAATAGATTTTCTTGAGGGAAGGCCTTTGTTAAGGAGAAGAGGACACTGTAGGTATATGTCAACTGGTTACCTTTCCCCTCTCCCTGTCAGTGGGAATCTTTTTCTATTCTTCACAGTAAAAACCTGGGTGGACTTCTTGAGGTAAAACTCATCTAGTTTCAGGGTCCTTGCTGAACGTGTGACTCCCCCTTCCACCCCCCGGCATTTTTATCTCTCAAGCTAGTCTGCACTCCATTCCCAACAGTCAAATCCTCTGCAAGTGTTCCTACCAGTTTCTGGCCCTGGCATTGGTTTCTCTGCCAGTAAGCTGTGATCCACCTGTCTCTTCAACATTCAAGGTGACAATTTGTCCTACGATTTCAGTTCGCTGGTGGATCTAAGGGGAGTTGCTTTTTATTTTGTTAGCCTTTTTGTCATACTGTAAGGATGGAAATAACAACATCCAAACTCTTTATTTATTGGTTCAGAAACCAAAAATCAAGGGCAGGCTCCTAGCTTTGTAACCTAATGCCAGTGAATTTTTATACATTTATACAAAATGTCTAGTATTTGGCATGGTGCACAATAAGAACATCATTTTGATAAAAGTTTGCTCCTTTTTATAAATCCTTTAATCCTGAAGTTGAAAATGTAGCAGAAATCATGGAACAGTAAGAAATACAAATGTACCAGGAATGAAAACTATGCTGAAAACAAAACAATACAACACAAAACAAAAACTACTTGTATAACCATTCCGAAAACATATGACTTCTGAGTTTTACTGAATAATAACTAAACATTGAGCTTTCTGGAACAAAAGTAAGGGGCTGACAGAAATAAACAAAAATATGTAGGTATCACTGATATGGTTGTATTTTATGGCAACCCTTTTGGATAATAAGACGTGTAGAGCCCTCGTCCATCACCATTGCTCCACGTATATGTAACACACTCAGGAGTCTGTCCAAGTCAAAGTGTGGCCTTAAGGAGAAGAAGTAGAGAGGCTCAAGTGTACCACCTATGTCTACTGTTAAAGAACAAAAGAGACCTCTCTCTCTTAGAGTCTTTTTTCAAAAGAAATTCTAACTGTGATGTATCTAATCTGTGTCCTCCTGCATGAAAACCTTGATCCAACTGCTTGTGTTGTGAGAAGGAAGTTTATGTGAAATGTGATGTTGTTGGCCACCGCTAAGGGTGACTCATTGTTTAATCTTCCAGGGAGTTTTGAAAAATGTGTCTTAGAATCAGCTTGTGGTGGATGAGAGGTGAAGAATTTATCCATCGACCCTTGTCTTCCGTCAGCCAAGGGTGGCCTCAGGAGCACCAACCTCCCTGTTCGCCCCAGCTCTGCATTCTGCAAGCCTGAGCACCTCGTGGTCCCTGTTTCCTGAGGCATCAGGGAGGTAGGGCAAGGAACAGCATGATTTGGGGATGAAGCTCCATCAAACTATACTTGTGTGAAGTTGGTCCTGGCAATGTGTGGGGGCTGAGATTTGACAGTGCAATACAAGATAGTGTCACATTTAATGGTAGTACATAACTCCAATTTGCAAGAATCAACTCCATTTCCTGGGGACCCGGCAATGTTTAGGAAATCTTGAAAATACAGTGCAGCTGGAAGCAGCTAGCTGTCTTCCTTCTATTTTCTTGTGAACACAAAGTTGTTTGTTTCTAAATAATAATAAGACTACTTTCATAATCATGTCAAACACCTGAATCGACCTTCCCTGATGCCATTTTATTGACTCCCTATGCTGAAGCTGTGAAATTGTATTTGAACATGGAACAGACTGGAATCATGTTTTATTTTTTCCTTATTTCTTTTGATTTGTAAAATACTGCTCTCTTTCTGTCATTCTGGATCATGCTTCATGGTATAATTGTTGACCCTCTGGGTTTGTCTTCATTTATATAGCACCATGTATAAAAAGCCTTTCTCAATTCAAGAGAAATTGACAAAGAGAAATTGTGTCCATAAATTCCCTTTGTAATTTTGTTTCATGATTTCCTTTAAATAGTCAATCAAGCCATCAAATGTGTTAGATTAAATCTTATACATGTGTGTGTCTCATGGTGACTCACTTGAATTAACTTGTAAGTTACTAGATGTTTTGTCGTTTTGTTCCTGATTACTCGAATCCCTCTCCGACTCCAGAGGTTTGTGATCTTTCGTTGCCATAGATAGAAATGGTGGGCTGCCAGCAGCTTCAAAGATTTCCTTGCATATGGCTTTATAAGAAGTTTTTTTTTTCAAGGAATGAATTTTTCAAAGAACACAGTAGCATTTCATCACCTGAATTATCTGCCATACATAGTAATAGAACTCGACATGAGTCTATTGAAAAGTTAGTTACTCTTTTTCCCAACTAATTATATGAACTATTAGGTAAATATGAGCTCCAAAGAAAACCCCAAATTTATAGTATTAGTTGTTATAAGTAAGCGTTTTCTTCCCTATAATCTTACTATCATGAGCTAATGAATGTTTAACTTTTTAAAAATTTCCAGCTATTAGTCAAAATGTAAAAGTCTAGCAATGTGTATTAGATACATGCTATATGGGTGTGAAGAAATTATAAGAAACTTTCCCATAACTAAGTCTTTTAGAATCTAAAGAAATGCTTTGGTTCTCAGAAAAAACCTTTATGGAGCAACCCACCTGAGGCCTTAAGTTCCTCCAGACAGGAGGCCACGCCAAATCTCTTACTGTGACAGTAAAATGTGATTAAAGCAATCCAAAGAACTATAGCCTGCAGACTCAAGAGTCTCTAACATTTTTATCAGGTGCAGCAAAAGATGCATTTTCCAGTCAATAATCCAATAATATCCTTGCCCTTGAGTCTTGACACACCCATCATCTTGGTATGAATATGGGGGCGGTAGATGGACAGAGGGGACTGAAGACCGGTTTCCATGAGCTTTCGTTAAGGACTAACATATGATGCTGAACAGAATAAAGACCTACAATTCAATTTTATTTATTTTAAAATCATGCCTATATATTGAAACACTAATACTCTATCACATCTATATGACCATGTAGATAACAAGGGCTCTGTATGTTCACATTATAAATTCATCATGTATTTGAAGACACTGTAACAGATGGCTTTTAGCTCCTGACTGAAGATAATACATAGCTGCCGTGCATGTTTAGTGTATTAGGCCATTCTTTTTAAAAAATTTGTGGGTACATAGTGTGTATCTTTATGGCTTACATGAGATGCTTTGATACAGGCATGCAATGTGAAATACGTATTAGATCATTCTTGCATTGCTATAAAGAAATACCTGAGAATGGGTAATTTATAAGAAAAGAGATTTAATGGCTCATAGTTCTGCAGGCTGTACAGGAAGCATGGCAACAGCACCTGCTTCTGTTGATGGAAACTTTAATTGTGTCTTTTGTTATTTTCTCACTGAAATGCTTTGGATAGCTTATTTTGGGAACAAATTTTATCTGAAAAATAATTGCATCTGCTTCTGGAGAGGCCTCAGGAAGCTTTTATTCATGGTGGAGGGTGAAGCAGGAGCAGGCATTTCACGTGGTGAAAGCAGAAGCAAGAGAGAGAGGGAAAATGGGGGTGAGGGGCACATACTTTTAACCCACCAGATCTCATGTGAACTCAGAGCAAGAGCTCACTTATCACCAAGCGGATGGCCCAAGCCATTCATGAAGGATTCACTCCTATGATCCAAACACCTCCCACCAGACCCCACCTCCCTCCACCATTGGGGATTACCATTCAACTTGAGATTTGGAAGGGGACACATGTCCAAACTGTATCACTTAGGTTCTGCCTAGGCGGGACCATTCATTTTTTCTGTAATTTGTGAAACATAGGGGTTTTTTAAAGTGTTAAGCTGGGACCTATGGCGGGTGCAGAGATGGCGTAGGCACACAGGCTGTCGTCAGTTAACTTCTAGTGTAATTGAATAATGCAAAAATATACTTAAATTGTAAGATACAAGTGTGGGAGAAGGTCAGAGGGGAATATGAGTGATGGATGGAGAAGTCAACTAACAGGCAGGGTTTCCTCCCAGAGAGAGTACAAAGGATGAACGTCCAGGCTCCAGAGAGGATGAGCGGGGAAGGCACACGCAGGCGGCAGTAGTCAAGGGGTTGCGTGGGGAGGAAGCCTTTCTGGTTCAGTGGAGAGTGGGGGCATTTTGCCACTAGGGCATTGTTTCAGAAACGGGGTTTTCATGGGGTCTGCCATTTAAAATTCACATTAAAGTATGTAAATGCTCAGTCAGGTACTGAGGCCGAAAACAAATCAGGCAAATAACTCTCTTGGAAGCCTCAAAGGATCATCTTTACAACCAATGATTTTTCGGATAAAATGTGTTCCCAAAATAAGCCATCCAGAGCATTTCAGTGAGAAAAGAACAAAAGACACTATTAAAGTTATTTAAACTGTTCAAATGTCACAGTACATTGCGGTCAAGAAGGGGGGTTTCTAGTCAGTTGAATTCATGTACATTTCTATTTCCAAATAGACATTGTGTATCTCTGCATATGTATGTAAGTATATAGATACAGGTGTATTGGTATATGTTTTATATGTATGTGTATATCTAGAGAAATTAATGTGTGTATGTGTTTGTATGTATACACACATAAATATGTATGTGTGTGTGTATATATATATACACATATATATATACCCATGTACAGAAGGACGCATATGCATATTTTGTATATATATGTTTTGTGGAAAAAATTCCCTCCCATATACCATATATAAGTGTATAAATGTGTGTGTGTGTATACCAAATTACCTATTACCAAATCCACCCAAAGCCTGCCGTCTTCTCTCTTTCCTGGCAGTGACTTCCTGCTTATGATCAGTTGTTACATTACTTGACCATCTTTCCTAAACTTTGAGTCCCTGAACTTACGAACATTTGGGGGCTATTAGGACTTTTCAAAGCCATTGATATGAGAATGTGATTGTAATACAAAATACTTGCATCCTATTTCCATAGATTTATTACTTTATTTAAATAAATGAGAATTTGTTTGTCATTTGGGAATGTTTCCTAGAAAGTCAGCTTAACACACATACACACGCGCGCACACACACACACACATGTTTATACACTTATATATAGGAGGGAATTTCTTTCTCAAAACAGGACACTTTCAACTCAAGCAGTTTAAACAGAATATAAATAAGATGCACTGTAAAGGTTAAGATACAGAGAATTTAGTTTTCTTTTTAGGCTTAGATTTATTCTATGATGTTTTCTCTGATACCCAAGTTTAACATTTACTAACGTCTTTTGAGTAAAAGGAAAAAAGAATGAGAAACTTATTTACTCTCATGTATCCTAATTCCTTGATCACTCATTTCAGCCACCACATCATTTCAGCAAACACTGGCTGAATCTGTCTCATGCCTCCATGCACTCACTCCCTTATTTTTTTGTGAAAAATAAATGAAAGGATGCATTTAATTCTTTAGATTCCACTGTTTGGTCAATACATTATCTGTCTCTGTCTTTCAACTTTTACTGTCTCTTATGCTGACCTCTTAACCCTTAGTTCTTTGAAAAATGTTCTGATATTTATCTAAACTTTCTTGCAATCTTCTTTTCATTTTTCATCTTTGCTTTTCTTATATATTTTTTACACTTGAATTCATTCTATAATCTCCTCTGTTACATCTGGATGTAGTGTTTTATATTTCACATATTCCTCTCTCATACCTTGATTGCTTTCTGCACCTCCTGATTTATCCACGTTGACTTTTGTTCACTCCGGCTGTACTTACTGGTATGTGACATTCCTAACCCTTGGGCATACATTAATTTGTCATTAAATATTTTCCATTTCCCCTTGCTGGCCTTTGTAGAATTCCATTACTTTATCCCCCTGGATTGTTCCCACCTCTTATCACACTTTTGCAAAGAATGTACTCTTCCAAAATCTAGCATTTTTATTATTCAGTATTTGGATCCAAAGCAGGATCATTTTTATGGTTGGAGTAACTATTTTGCAGTGAGCTGTCTCTGTGGAGGGCACTAAACTTGGCATGGAATGCCTTTTGTTTTTTTAGTGAATTCTCTTCAGACAGAAATTTAGATTATGCCATTTAAATAAATTTAGTTTCACCTGCCAATAGAGGAAATGTGTTGAGCAGGTTCATCACCCTTATGTAATAGAACATGCTTTCAGTTTGACCTGTGTGCATAAACAGCAGGCCTATTACCAAATACATCCGAAGCCTGCTGCCTTCTGTCTTTCCTGGCAGTGGCTTCCTGCTCATCCTCAGCTATTGCATTACTTGACCATCTTCCCTAAATTTACTTTGAGTCCCTGAACTTATGTACGTTTGAGGGCTATTAGTAATTTTCAAAGCCATGGACACGAGAATGTGATTATAATACAAAATACTTGCATCCTATTTCCATAGGTTTATCACTTTATTTAAATAAATGAGAATTTGTTTGTCATTTGGGAATGTTTCCTAGAAAGTCAGCTTAACTATTTACTGGCATATCTTCTTTTCTTCCCCCTTCGTCCTTTCCGCTGTTCCTGTTACAATAAACTTCCTTTTATTCTTCACAAAGAAAACTCATAAAATTCAGCTTTTGTCAAGGAGTCTTCCACAAAAAGTGTTGTTAACTTTTTTTTCAGTTTTAACTCTAGATGCAAACCCACTTTCTAACATGAGATAGTTCTATCATTACACGTGTGCAATCACACACACAATCATTTCTCTTTTTGCTACGTTTATTGGCAATTGACAATGGTTATGCACAGTTGATAACTTGAATATGTTTTGGATCGAAAAGTAAGAAAATCAGCTGACTGCTTAATGTTTTTTTTTTTTTTCTTTCTTTTTGGTGTCCGGTAAGTGTTCTTGTGACTGAGAAGGCCAGAGACGCAGTGAGAAAGAACAGTGCCATATTTGGAATCTGCTAGTCTGCTTCAAATCTGAGTTTGACCAGCAATGATGCGTCCACAGGTATTTATCCCTCCTCTCAGAATCAACATGCCCATATGTAGATACAACTATCTGTAATGAACATCTCTTGTGAAAGTTAGGGACAGCATATGTAAACCACTGGCCATGTGAGAATTGGCTAAGAAGTGATAAGTGCATATTGAGAATATTGACAAAATATTTATTATTAAGTGTTGAAATATATAATTGATCGTGATAATAAAAACTATTTGTGTAGGTTGTGGAAATATTTCGCAGATCCTTCACGTAAATTATCTCATATGATTTAATAAAAATCCTGTGAGGTGGGCAGGAAAGTATTATAATTCTGATTTTACATTATTGAAAGGCACCTGTGTCTAGATATGACCTTGAATTTAACATTTTAGAGTTTTAAATAAATCTGAGACTAGAGTGAATGAAGAGTAGAATCATAAGAGCGTAAAGTTGAGTTAGTTGTAATGACTTTGCATATGTGTACTTTGAAATGCTCAGCATTCACGTTTAGTGATTTCAAGTGGATGATCATAAGGAGTCGTCTGTGGAGTACGACGGGCAGCACTTTGTTAATTTTCACAGGCTATGGAGACAGCGTGGATACAGCCACGCCAGAGGCAATATGGCTTTTCTTCAGGCTATAGTCATGATCTCGCTCAAGACCAGGACTTCTTGGCCCTGGGCCAGTGGTTTTCAAACTTCAACATGCATCAGATTCACCAGGAGGCTCCTTAAAACACAAACTGCTAGGCCCACTCTGAGAGTGTCTGACTGAGTGGGTCTGAAGTCAGGCTGAGTATTTGCATTTTTTGTGAGTTCCCAGGTGGTGCTGATGTTGCTGCTCTTGCTGGTGCTAGGACCATCTTTATAATCACTGGACTAGAATGTTCCCATCACTTATTTTCATCAATAAAAAGGCAATTCTATCAGAAAGATACTGAAGGTTGAAGACTAGTTATTATTTTAAAGATACTGAAGGTTGAAGACTAGTTATTATTTTAAAGATACTGAAGGTTGAAGACTAGTTATTATTTTAAAGATCCTGAAGGTTGAAGACTAGTTATTATTTCTTAAACATATTATTTTGAAATAATTATGGATTCATGGGAAGTTGCAAAGATTGCACAGAGAGTTCCTGTGTCGTCTTCATGCAGTTTGCCGTCACGATTAGAACTTATATAGTAATAGCACAACTATGAAAATCAAGAAGTTCACATTGCAATAAAGCATGTGTTTGCTTCTATGTCATTTTAATCACGTGTGTATCACCATCCTGATCAAGACAGATAAATATTCCTTCATCTCAAAGATCTTTCTCCTGTTCCCTTTTTATAGTTGCCCTGACCCCTTTCCACCTCCCCCACCATTCCAAACCAAAGGCAAACACTAATCTGTTTTTCAACTCTGTAGTTTTGTCCTCTGAAAATGTTAACGTCAATGGAATTATCAGCAAAAGGGAGTTCAACAATCCAGTTTGTTGGGTGTGTCAGTAATTCAGTCATTTTCATTATTGAATGGTATTGCCTGGTGTGGGTGTCCCATTGAGTTTAATCATTCACCCATTGAGAGACATTTGGCTTTGCCCACTTTTTGGCTATTGTGAACAATGATGTACAGGATTTTTTCGTAAATATATTTTCATTTCTCTGGGACAGATGCCCAAGGATACAAAAGCTAGATTGCATGGTAAACATATATTTCCTTTTTAAAGCAACTTCCAAACTAATTTCCCAAGAGGTCACGGGAAATTTCCATCAGCAGTGCTTGAGAGATTTAGTTTCTCAGCATCTTGTCTAGCATTTGGTGTTGTCACTACTTTTATGTTAGCTATTCTGATAGGTATGTAGTGATATCTAATTGTGGTCTTAATTTGCCTATCTCTTAAAGCTAGTGATTTACACGTCTTTTCATGTGCATATTTGCCATTCATAGCTCCACTTTCGTGAAACATTTCTTCCTGTCTTTTGCCCATTTTCTTATTGGATTGTTTCTTAACCACTGAGTTGTGAGAGTTCTTTACATATTTTTAGGTATGAGTCCTCTGTCAGAAATGTGGTTTGCACATATTTTCTCCAAGATTGTAGCTCTTCTTCCATTTCTCTTGACAGGGTCTTCCAAAGAGCAAATGGTTTTAATTTTGATGAAGTTCTAATTTATCAATTATTCTTTTGTGCTTTTGGTGGCATGTCTAAGAACTCTTTACCAAAACTTAGGACCTGAAGATTTTACCTATCATTTTTTCCTAAACATTTTTTGCTTTTATTACTATTTTTAATTGGCATATACTAATTTTACATATTTATGGGGCACAATGTGATATTTTCATACATGTATACAATGTATAATGATCACATCAGAGTAATTAACATATCCATCACCTCACACATTTCTCATTTCTTTCTGTTGGGACATTCAAAATATTCTTCTAACTGTGATAATATACAATTAATTATTATTAATTATAGTCACCCTACAGTACTAGAGAACATTAGAACTTACTCTTTTGATCTAGCTTTAATTTTCCATCTATTAACCAACTTCACACTATCTCTTCCATTCCCCTACTTAGTTTTATGTTTTACATTTAAGTATATGATCCATTTTGAGTTAGCTTTGGATAAAGTGTGAGGTTTAGATTTAAAATCTTGTTTCCTTTTTCTTTTTTGCTTATGAGTATCTAATTGCTCTAGCACTATTTGTTGAATAAACTGTTTTTTTCTGCATTGAATTGCTTTTGTATCTTAGACCAATACAAGATGATCAATATGATTTATAATATTGAAATATTGTTTTTTGATAATTTCTGGATTTTCTATTCTGTTACATAAATTTGACTGTAGATTGCCAATACAACTCAATCTTGATGACTATAATTACATAATAAGTCGTGACAACAAGTACAATAATGCCTTTATTTTATATTTATTTTTTAAAAATTGCTTTAGCTGTTCTAATTCTTTTGAATTTCCACAAAAGTTTAGGTCTTTTCTCTATCTATAAAAATATCTTGTTTGGATTTTGATCAGAATTGTTTAAGCCTGTGAATCAATTTGAGAAGAATTGACAACTGTACCATGTTGTCTTCCAATCCATGAGCACATTATGTTTTTCCATTTATTTACTTTACTTTGATCCCTTTAATTAGTGTTTTTTCACTTCTTAGCATTCACCTACTATACATTAGATTTACGCCTGTATATTTCAATTTTTTGGTTGATTTTAAATGGTATTGAATTTTAATTTATTTCCATGTTTTCACTGCTAGTATGAAAATGCAATTGATGCAGTGTCTTGATCTTTTATCCTGCAACTTTGCTGAATTCAATTATTAGTTCTAGGGTTTTTTTACTCCTTTAGATTTTCTATGGAAACCATCATGTCATCTGCAAATAGAGATAGTTTTATTTCTTCCTTTCTCATCTATATGCCATTTTTTCTTTTGCCTTATCATGCCAGCTAAAATTTCCAGCACTATATTGAATAAGTTGGTAAGAAAGAACATCCTTACTTTGTTCCTGATCTTAGAGAGAAAGTGTTCAATATTTCACCATTAGGGATGTCGTTAGCTATAATATTTTGGTATTTTTTTCAATCAGGTTGAAAAAGTCCCCTTTACTTCTAGTTTTCTGAGATTTTTTTTATCATGATCGGACATTGAATTTTGTCAAATGTTCTTTTTTTCCATCAAATGATATTATTATTTTTCTTCTTTAGTTTGTTAATATGGATTACATTAATTAACTTTTGACTGTTGTTCCAGCTTTGTGTCTGTGGAAGAAATCTCACTCAATCATATTGTATAATTATTTTTATATATTGCTGAGTTCTATATGCTAATATGTTGTGGAAAATTTCAGCCTCTATATTTATGAGGATTTTGTAATTTTCTTTTGTGGTATTGCCCATATGATTCTTATAGAAGAGTATTACTGGCTTCACATAACATACTGGAAGTGTCTCTTCTTATTCCATTTACTGGAAGAGATTGTGTAGAATTGATGCTGATTCTTATTTAAATGTTTGACAGAATTCTCCAATGAAAACATTTTGATCTGAAGATTTCGCCAGGTGGAGGAAGGTGGGGAATTTAATTATGAATTAAAATTTCAAACAGTTATAAAGCTATTAAAGTTGTATATTTTATGTTGGGTGAGTTTGCATCATTTTAGATTTTCAGGAAATTGATCAGTTTCATCTAAGTTGTCAAATGTATGTTTGTAGAGTTATTTCTAATATTTTCATATTATCCTTTGGAAGTCTGCAGAGTCTGTAATCATATCCCATGTTTCATTCCTAATATTAGTAATTTGTGGCTTCTCTCTTTTTTTTCTTTGTCAGGATAGCTAAAGGCCAGTCAGCTTTATTGATTTTTGTTAAAATAAGCCATTTTTTCATTGTCTTTTCTCTTTTTTTGTTTTCAATTTCATTTATTTCTGTTGTTACATCTTTTCTTCTGCTAGGTTTACGTTTTTCTGTTCTATTTTCTTGAAGTGGGAGCTTAGACTACTGACATAAGACTTTTCCTTTTTTTTATTTTTATTTTTGGAGACAGAGTCTCGCTCTGATGCCCAGGCTGGAGTGCGGTGGTGCCATCTCAGTTAAGGTCTTCCTCCTGGGTTCAAGCAATTCTCTTGCCTCATCCTCCCGAGTAGCTGGAACTGCAGATGTGTGCCACCATGCCTGGCTACCTTTTGTATTTTTAGTAGAGATAGGGTTTTGCCATGTTGGACAGGCTGGTCTTGAACTCCTGACCTCAGGTGATCCACCTGCCTCAGACTCCCAAAGTGCTGGGATTACAGGCTGAGCCACCATGCCATGCTTTTCCTCTTTTCTAATATGAATGTTTAGTACTGTAAATTCCCTTTTCTAATACTGCTTGAGCTGTCATCTACAAATTTTAGTATGTTGTATTTTCATTTTCTTGCATTCAATGTGCTTTTAGATTTTCCTTTAATTTTTTTCTTTGACTCATGAAAATTTAGCAGTGTGTTTTTTGAGTTAGAGTTGTTTGGTACTTTTTCTTTTTCTTTTTTTTTGTTATTGATATCTAGTTTGATTCCACTGTAGTCAAAAACCAAACTGTTGATGATTTCAATTTCTTTGAATTTGTTAAAATCTGTTTTAAAGCCTAGGATGTGGTCTTCGTTGGAATATATTCTGTGGGCACTTGATACAAGTGTGATCCTGTTGATGGATGGTGATTTTGAGTACTATATTTTTGCTGATTATCTGGACAGTTGTCTATTACTTGTTGTGAGAAGTTTGTTGAAATGTCTAAGTACAATTGTGGAAATGAGCTTCTTGTAAACAGTATATAATTGGGTTGTTTATTTAAATCCATGCTACCAATCTTTGTAGTTTAATTGGTGTATTTAGTTCATTTACATTTAATATAATTAGGGATTAGAGTGTAAACTGGTCATTATATAGTTTTTGCTCTGTTTCTTCTCTTTCTTTTTTTTAATCCCCTAGCTTTCTTTTTGGTTCCTATAAGTTGAGCATATTTTGAAATTTCATTTTGATTTATATATAGTATAAACTTAAAGTATATTTCTATGTATGTCTTTTAGTGATTGCTATTAATATTACATTTTTACCCCAATCTACTAGTGTCAATTTTTTTTATCACTTTAAGTGAAGTGTAAAAATCTTACCTCTTTTTATGTCCCTTTATTCTCCTCCCATTTAATTTTAAAAGTTTCAGTATGGTGTGTCTTCGACATGGAATTATTTGGGTTTAACTTTTTCAGGGTTTACTCTGCTTTTTGAATCTGCAGGCTTATTAATTTTGACAAATTTTGGAAATTTTCAATCATACTTCAAAAACCGTTTCAGCTCTATGCTCTCTGCTCCTCATTTTTGGACTCCATTGACATTAATGTTAGATCTTTTTTTATAGTCTCATAAGTCCCTGATTGCTGTCAATTCTCTTATTGAGCCTATCCATTAAGAATTTGTTGTTAATTATATTTTTCAGTACTAACATTTTTATTTGATTCTTCTTTATATCTTTTATTTATTTGCTTAGGCTTTCTGTTTCATTTCTGAGACTTTCTATTTAAGTGTGTTTGTAATTACTCATTTCATTTTTGTGCTGACTTTTTAAAGCCCTTGTCAGATAATTTTAACACCTGTGTCATCTTGATGTTGGCATCTGTCAATTTTCTTTTCTTATTGGAAGTTGAGATCTTCCTGGTTTTTGATATGAGGATTGTTTTTTGATGAAACCTATTCATGTGAGGTATTACATTGAGAGACTGTGAACCTTATTTAAATCTCATGTTTCAGCAACTCTTGTTACACTGCTCAATGTCAGGGGACGAAGGGTCGGATAAAGGCCACTGCCTTTTTACTGAAAGGTTGGGTTAGAATTTCAGAGGAAGCCCAGGTTCTGTACTAACTGTTGATTTGTGGTGAGGGGCATCTCATTAGTGGTGATGGTAGTGGCCTCGACTAATACAATGGCAGTATGTTTCTAAGGGGTGTAGGGGTAGCTCATTACCACTTTACTGCATTAGACATCCTGACTCTTCACTAGGCCTCCAACCACATTTCAGTAGTATATAGGTAAAAGTCTAAGACTGTCCATGTGGTTTCTATTGATATAGGGTGGGGTGTGAGGGGAGTGCTGGAAGATTTGTTACTACCTTGCAAGAATGAAAGTCTGAGATCCCTACTCAGCATTCTGAGACACCATCCAAACAGTGTGGTTGGGTCACCGTGCCACAGCCTTGAAGTTCAGATACTCTACCAGGCTTGCAGGCATGGTGGCTGGGCCCTAGCCTTTTCTTTGTGTTTGGAAAAGTAGAGCAGTTATTGTCAAATAAAAGTTTGCTTTTGTCTTGCTAGGCTGCCCCTCTCTGGGTCCTTTTGTTGGAGTGATCAAGCTTTTCTTGGTGCTCTTTTTGTCTGTATTCTTAGGCATTTCCTGGCTGCTGGTTTCTCTAATGTGTATTTAGAGATATACAAAGCAAAATGAAAGCCCAGGTAACTCTCCACTTTGTCAGTTCTCGGATAGCAGAGTCCCCAGTCATTCTTCCTTCCTCTTTCCACCTTTTGGGATCATTATGCTTGTTTTATATTTGATATTCAAGGTTTATAGTTGCACTTAGTGGGAGAAACAGTGAAAGCTACGTGTATTCCAACTTTCTGCAAGAGTAATTATTTTTAAAGATTTCTGTCGGACTTAATTTACAGTTCTGCCGCAATTACGTATTTCTTATAACATCAAGTATTTCATTGCTTTTTTATTTAACAGGACACTGGAGATTGGCCAATATAACAATATATGACATTTTTGGAATTTCTCACCTTGGCTCCCTTGAAAATATTTGGATACAGGTATCACCTAAACTATCTTTATTTTCACTCATTTTGAATATTATATTACACAATGCTTAATCTTATCATTGCTTTAGTTTCATTTTCTGTGTCCTAGAAACACTCAGTTTTTTAATGCTAAATAGCTCATGTGTCCACATTCTTTTATATTTCTTTTATTTGCTTATATCCCTCAATGCTTTCCTTTATAGCTTCTACCATCTGGGTATATTTTCTCTTGTCAGATTTTATTTTTGATTTTAGTCCTTTGAGTTGTCTCAAAAGGTGGAAAAGATGTGATGTCTATTTCCCCAACTAATATTATTTCTTCCCTGACCACCCATCCGTTTATTTAGTACAGGCTTTTGTATAGACTTGTGACATATGCCTTCTAAAGATGTGCATGAATAACAAGTAGCAAATAGGAATAAAATGAGATGTATAGGATGGTCTTAGAGATTAATAATAGTAATTAATCATTTTTTTTTCTGTCTGAGCCTTATCTCAACTAACAAGAGATGTATAATCTCTTCCTCTTTCTCCAAATTCTTTTTCTTTTCTCCACTTTGCCAAGGTCCTTCTCCAGACTTCAGACAACTCTGAAAATCCAAGTCTGTTGCTAGAAGATATCTCACCCTAAGAACACAGTGAGTAGCTTTCACATCAACCACCCCAATGGTGTTGCTTACATATTTTAAGGTTCTAATTTTTCATTCTAAAAAAGGTTTTGCCCTCTGAATGAACTAATGGTTAAAAACTTTGAGATCTGGCCATCTCTTCCTGGCACTTTTGCTCTCTCTCTCTCACTCGCTTGCTCGCTTGCCTGTTTTCATTGTAAGGCTGACCTTAACATAACTCTTTGTCTTTATCTCCTAGCACATTACCCTACATATTAGATCACTAATAAATGCTCCTTAATGATCATATTTGTTTGTGCTTGGGGAGAGCACAAAATGAAACTCTGATACAGTTTGTGACAGGCATATAATCACTTACTTGAATTGTCTTTTGGTAATTTCACCAAAGTAGGGGATAAGGATAGCAACAGTGATATTTAGAATAAACCAGAAGGAAACGATATGATTTGCCAGGACTAACAGATGATAAACTTATTTTAAAATTTTGGTATGTTTTCTCCTAATTTATGAAGAGTTCTAACATGGCATGGGATTGCCAGCAAAACTAACCTATTGCAAAAGGAAATAAAATAATCTTAAAACAAGAGGAAAAATATCCCTCGTGTTTTCATTTAATTTAGCAGTATTTACCATTGATTCACCAGATGACTTTCCTCCATGATCAATATGATTGGGAATTGAAAAGTTTTTCTTAGTTGCTGGATCAAAATGTATGGGGACAAATGAGAAATCAGGGCTTGTCCCCCCTTCTGTCAAGATCCATGCTGGTAAGGTTTTTCCAGCTGTAATTGTTGAAGCATTATGTATGTCTATTCTCGGCTTCATTTCAGACAGTGGGAGGTGATGAGAAAGACAGATGATGGATAGTAGATTGAGATGCAAAAAAAAAAAAAAAATAGAACAGACTGGCAGAAAGAAGTTTCTCAGAAAAGAGAGAACAAGGAATATGGTTAATGTTTGGTGGCTGTTGCAAAAGAGATATGTATATTTGCTTAAAGCATGGCAAGGCAAATAGGGAATTTTGTGGGAATATCATTAAAATATCTGAGTAAAAATAGGATTAGTAGCAACAATTGTATGCTTATGAAGGGTGAATAGTGGTTAGATCACTTTTGTTAGGGTTTTCAGTGTGCAGAAAACTGGTCACAATTCTCAACTCTTCATGAACTGAAACTAACAGTCAGACACCCTATTCTGTAAAACTCCTCAGCCTGATACTCTTTTCATTCATTCAACAGTAATTTTGGTGCCCTAATTTTATATGAGGTTATGCTTAGTCAGCAGAACTTCCCAGCACCTATACCAGGTAAGCAAAGTTTCATCTCAAAATAAAAAAGATGCTTTCCCTTATCTATCTCTTTGATGTGTTTCAGATTAGATTATTAATCTTTGCATTTCAAAGAGACATTTGCAAAGTTTTTTTTTTTTTTTTTTTTTTTTTTTTTTTGAGGCAGAATTCCGCTCTTGTTGCCCAGGCTGGAGTGCAATGGCACAATCTCAGCTCACCGCAACCTCCGCCTCCCAGGTTCAAGCCATTTTCCTCCCTCAGCCTCCCGAGTAGCTGGGATTACAGGCATGAGCCACCATGTTCAGCTAATTTTTTTGTAATTTTAGTAGAGATGGGGTTTCTCCATGTTGGTCAGGCTGGTCTCGAACTCCTGACCTCAGTTTATCTGCCTGCCTCCCAAAGTGCTGTGATTACAGGCGTGAGCCACCACACCCAGTGGCATTTGCAAAGTATTTATTTGAAAGCATAAAGCTATTGTTAAAATCTTCCAAGTTTTTCTGATTTTTGAATTATCACCTATGTTTGATCACTTACTGTTTTAATGTTTGCTTCTGAACAGTTTTCTGTATTTCTATATCACTGTGGAAACATTTGTTTTTCTTTTCCTCCCAGAAAAGATGACTTTTGATTTCACTAGATGTGTTATTTAGAAACCAGTCAAATGAAAGAACTGTTTAAGATCAAGATCGGAGAGTGTGTCACATAAACTGTCATATATGCACTCTGTCTATATCAATGTTCAAAAGTACGGAGAGTTTTGGGGAGTGTTATTTGTTTATTAAGTATCTCATGTTACATACTTTCAAGGAAATTGTCGCTTATTCTTTTGTAAATAATGTTTTAAGAAATGTGTCATTTTAGTGTTTGGTCTCTAGAAATGATAATTAAAAATAGACGTAGGCCACCAGCTTGCCAGAGGTTTAATGAAGTTACAAAAACTCTGTGACCAATATATCCTTTGAAAGATTGACTTAGACCACCATTGTCTAGTGAAACTCTCTGAGATGAGGAAAACTTTCTATATCTGCTCTAATGGTATAACTCCTAGCCACATATGGCTATTGAGTGGTTGAAATGTTCCTTTTATTACAGAAGTAACTAACATTTTAAGTTATTTGAGTTTGATACATTTAAATATAAACATAAATAGACACATGTGGCGAGAGATGACCATGTTGGGTGGACGTATTTAGACAAATGCTGAGATTAAACATATACTTCAGATTTTGTTAAACATTTCATTCAGAGAACTATAGAAAACTGAGAAGAATAGTTAATGTTTTGCTAAAACCCCAAGCCTGGCACATAAGAGTCATTCAGTGAGTGTTACATTTTTCCCTTTCCTTCTTCTTACAATGTTACAGTATCACAGTGCATACAGGTAATATAGAGCAAATTAAAACGTTAAACATTTAGGCCAGTTGAGGTGGCTTACACCTGTAATCCTAGCACTTTGGGAGGCCGAGACGGGTTGCATGAGCTCAAGAGTTTGAGACCAGCCTGGGCAACATGGTGAAACCTTGTCTTTACAAAAAAATACAGGAAAATTAGCTGAGCATGGTGGTGTGGGCCTGTGGTCCCAGCTACTTGGAGGGCCAAGGCAGGAGGATCACTTGAACCCGGGAGGTCGAAGCTGCAGTGAACTGAGATCTTGCCACTGCACTCCAGCCTGGGTTACAAAGTGAGACCCTGTCTCAAAAATAAATAAATAAATAAGTAAATAAATAAAGCATTTATATTTGTCACAGGTTTTTACCATGATGAGAAAGTATGCAACAAGAAAAAATCTTGTGTGTCAGTTGAGATAGATTCTTTTTACAGTTCTTTGTATAACTAATAAGGTATTAGAAAGTATTGCCTGCTTTCTTTTCTCTCCAATAGTGGAATGGAGGTGTAGCCACCTTTCTCCCATCTAATACTGTGATCTTACTAAGTTGAACCATATGACATTGTAAATTTTATAGCTTAAACATGAGCAATTATGAACAGTTCAATTCAGTTCAACAGATTAGTTAGGAAAAATAAATGGCATACTGAAGGAAAGGCAACATGTATTTTAAAATGTAGTTATTCCCCAAATTATTAAACACTCATTATTTTCAGAGAGCGTATTTTTGAGTAAAATAAATAAAAATGGAAGTGTCTGTATAAACATGTTTATCTGTGTGGGCATGTATATATGCCATAACTTGCCTCCAGGCTGTAATGTAGAGGCTTAGTCTGTATATTCTCCAGGAACATGATTTAAGAAAAAAATTTAGTCTCTGTTTCTCTCAGTTCATATATGGCTTACATTTGCACATAGTTGGGTAAATTGAAATTCAAAATCTTATAATTGAGAAGAATATCAGGTCCAGTTGATTTCATACCATATAGCTAACCACCACGGCAGGTCTTGAAAGAACAGAGACAACTTTGGGAGGCCGAGGCAGGCGGATCACGAGGTCAGGAGATCGAGACCATCCTGGCTAACACGGTGAAACCCCGTCTTTACTAAAAAATACAAAAAACTAGCGGGGCGTGGTGGCAGTGTCTGTAGTCCCAGCTACTCGGGAGGCTGAGGCAGGAGAATGGCGTGAACCCGGGAGGCGGAGCTTGCAGTGAGCTGAGATCTGGCCACTGCACTCCAGCCTGGGCTCAAAAAAAAAAAAAAAAAAGAACAGAGACAGACTCTTCCGTAGAGTAGGGTAATCAGAATGATGGCTTCTTACTTTGGAAGGTGTTCTCATCCTCTTAGGGAACCAGAAGCTCAAAACTGATAATGCCTGTTTACAGATGAAATAATTTATGCATGCAGAAAACACAGGGGAGATAGCATGGTATTTGGGCTACTGGTTTCAAGTTGTAATAGAAGAATAGATGGATAGAGAGAGGAGTCTTAAAATCTGTATCAGCTCATCATAGCTTCCCTGTTCCCAGTCTTGGTGAGTGGAAAACCCAGGACATTCCCACCCATGGAGGGTCTATTAAAAAAAAAAGTAACATAACTGACCTGAAGCCATTTGCCTGGGAAATGTCTTTGGGCTGCCGCTGAGAACCAGTGAGGGTATTGCAGAAGGGGAAGAAAATACTGATGAAATGGTGATGGTGCCCCAGGGTGTGTGGGGAGGAGGCAAAGCAGATTTGAAGCACTGTGGGGACTCCGCAGGCAGGCTGTGCCCATGAGCTGCTCCCCCACTGCCTGCACATATCTGCGGGCTAAAACCTGGGCTCAGCCTTCATGTGGCCAATGAAAACTGACATTTCCCATATCCCAAGGTTAGCCTAACAGTAATTAAAGCATCACATTGCACACAATTCTTTCCATTATAATTTAAGTGGATTTTATGCTATTTTAAAAACCATTCTAGTTCCCACTGTGAATAATGAATACAAATAAAGTTGAATGTCAGACCTGCAATACAAATCAAATAAGAAAACCTATAAGTATCCCAAACATCTGCCCTCACAATCCCTAAGTCTCAGGTGCTTTGCTGCCAGCCCAACATTTCATAAATGTTTGCCCTGGTTTGCTTTTGATGTCAAGCTACCTCAATGGGCCACTTGGGTTCCATTAACAATGATAGGGCACCTCACACTCTGAGACATCCTTCCAGCTTCCACCGTCTTTCGAGAAATTCATTCATCTTTCTAAGCAGCTATATTAGGCAGTGCCAAGAAGATTTCTAAAAAGGAGATAGACAGACACACCTACTCAGAAATCACAAGGTCTTTCAGAGATGATAATTGTTTTTTTTTTTTTTTTTTTTAAATCACTGAAAGAATGGGGCTTTTGCTCAATTCATTTTCTACACCTTCAGTCAATGTGCTTTAAAATGTCCCTGCCTCTCTGGATCCCTAGGGGGGACAATTTACAGTTACGCTCTCTTGCAATTGTGGATGTGATATTGTTGTGTTCTGATTCTAAATAACACAACAGAAGGTTGACATCAGCGTATCTTGCTCCTCTCATTGTTGTTCCATGAAATAGGAAGAGAAACTGGAAACAGAGCTTTACACATGGTCTAGCTTGAAGGATAGTACAGAAAAGGTTGAAATCTTGTAACCCCATTTCTAAATACATGAGAGGGGATAGATTTGGGTGTCTGCTGCCTGTTCACCATGGACACCCAAGACTCAGAAACAGGGAAGGAAGCCTATAGCCTTTCTGTGACTCGTTGTAATGCAGAAAAGCCTGGTGATGGGGAGTTGTTTTTATTTTTATACTATTACTAGACTGAAAAGCATTAATATTGTCATACAGATGGTCACCTATGTTGGAAGCTTACGAAAGAACTCCAAATTGTGAAAAGATTATTCTAAATTTAGGAAAGCATCAACTCCCTAATGCTAAAGGTGGAGCCGTGCTGCTAAACATATTAGTATTTCTTAATTCAAACACCTGTTCTGCCCGTACGATACATAAAAAAGCTCTTATTTATTGCTTGCATCTCCATTTCAGATTTAATCTCACTATAAATTCATCTCATGTTAATTTATGTGCAAACAAAGACACACACATTTTAAATATCCGAAATGCTGGAAATAAACTTATTTTTAATTTTGTGCTTGTTTTCCATTTGTCAACCAGCAAATGAAAGGACTGAATAAATCATGCACTAATTGCCAGCGGTGCTAAATTTAGTGTGAGATCTGGAATCCTTTTGATCAAAACCGCTGAATATGAAATCATCCTCAGCTCTCTAGGCAACTTTATCCGCCTTCCTATTCTCCATCTGTCAGTCACCTGGGAATTTGTGAACTATTCCATATGTCAGGCTTGTCAATCACAATGGGATGTGGGACCTATCTGCCTACTGCATAGGAATTCTTGTTAAAAAATTAATCTGCATTTAACTGGTAGTTCTATATTTTGAATACCATATTGTTTGGTGTTTTGAATTTTTTTCTCTATGTAAGGTTAATAGAAATAAATTTTATTTAAATCGTGTAGATTAAAAGTCTTCATTTAAATAACATTTACAAGCTTGTAACTGTTACACATATATCTGTTATATATAGCCAGTAATATTGTGCA